ATATATATGTAGTGGGTAAGTATAGAGACAAAAATGACCACAGATATCGACTTTTAGTACAAATCTGGCATAACTGTGTAATGTAATAATGTTAAACCGTGAAAATAGAGAAACCGCAGTTGTAATATTTAGCATTGTGTCTGCAATGTCACATTTTAATGGAAGTTTTACACTGTGTCCATATTTAAATGAAGGATTAGGACACAGCATATATCCAAAAGCTGACTAGCTCTTATATACTCAGTGTATATACCCCTAAAAACATACACAAAGACGATGCAGTCTTTATGTTTTCTTATATCACGTCACACATACACACAGAGAAATGCATTAGTATGCAGATACGGCCCTTGACATTTATACTCACAGGCAAATGAACAGACACTTCTTCAGGCCAACACATTGGCACACATGTTCACACATACAGCCACTTTCCTGCAGAAACAGTGGTCCTGCCAGCTGTGTTGCTGTGGTAAGGAGATAACAGGAAACTCCAATCACAGGTCTTCTCTCAATCCATTCCATAACACCCCTGATGGGAGTCTCCCTGGGGTTGAGGATGAGAGGGTATAGCAGACATCACACTAACAATAGGCCATGCTAGAGGTGTTGAAATTGGATCCAAAGTTTGCATTCGACACAGGCTTTTGTATCGTACATATGTACCAAAAGTGCACTGATAAAAAATTAACCACACAAATCTTTTTTTCAATTCAAGCAGCATTTGACAAGAAATAATATGAACAATGACGGCTTTGTGAAGAAAGGAGGAAAAGGGGTGCAACTGCAGTACTGAAACATTGTGATCAAAACTGAGCACGCTCTGAGAAGGTAGGGTTGAGAGCGGGGCTGCAGTGCACAGTCATGATTGATGCATTACTCTGCCCTAGTTGTCTGCACACAAGAACAGGAAGACTGTGGCAATTTTACCCAATCCCAGTGTAAAACTTCTTTTGTCTCTTCACTTTCCCACTCCTGTTTTGTCTCTCTATGCACTTGCAATATGAAGAGCTCATCCTTTGCTATTAAAAAGCCTCTTATGTGTGCAGACAGTAAGAAGCAAGCGTGGAAATCATTTTTAGCATTAAAGGGCTCTTACTGTCCTACACATAGGATATAAACTATCTCTTCCAGAGAATGCAGATTATTTCATCCCATTTCCTGCTGCCTTTTAATATGCTGCACACAATCACATCGTAACTGTGACATGCACCATTCCGTTTTTCTATCCTTTGTTGCTAGATACCTAAAAAGCAAAAATGAAATGCTGTTTCATCCCCAGAGATGAGATGTACTTCTGCCTCTGAAATCTGTTTATTTTCAGAAGAGTCACTTGAGACAAAACATTTGCTAAATGTATATGGTCTAATATATCAGGATGAATATGCTCAGAAATGCGCATCCCTTCTTGTCAAGGTCAATATCTTCTCTGACTCAGAAATCCTATTAGCGGAGATCCACATTACCTGCTTTAGTGCAGTTTAATAGGGTAATGAGTCTCAGTGGTGATATTCAAACACAGAGGGAAGGAAACCTCACGGGAAATTGTTGATTAAGAAGACTTATAAAGTACTAAAATGCCTTAATTTGTAAATCACACCCTAAAAACGACTCAAAAGAGTAATAGAACTTTTTCAGCCTTTGTGGATTGTAGATACAAAGACGCAGCACTGAACTTGGATTACTTTGTTTTTGTGAGTTTCAAAATTATGGAAATACTTGCCGTATTTTTCAGACTATAAGGCGCACCGAATTATAAGGCACATTACGTGAAATAAAACAGTCAGATAAGCCAAACTTTATTCAACTCATTCTTCTTGCTTCCTCCACTTCCGTACCATGCATTCATTAACCCTTTAAAGCCGGTCGGAGTGGGCACGCTTCGTTTTGCGCAACTATTGCTAAATCCCGGTAGCACTGCAACCACGTAAGCTAGTGCAATAATTTTTTTGCATATGAAACCGGAGGAGTTGTACTTACATCTTATGCCATCAGCTTGTCCTAGGTCACGGTTTCTTTCCACATATAGCTTTGCAAAAACTGCATAAAAAGCACTTGCAGCAACAAAAACACAATATTCCAGAAACACGCTTTGCCGATCCGATCAGCTGTTTGTAGCACTTCCTACGTCCATAAGCACGAACTATCGCATGTCCGCCATGTCCTGCCCGAAACCTCATTTTGCGGAAATGTATTTTTTTTTTTACCATCAGGGCCTTATGAGCCTATACTGGTGTTTTTAAAAGTTATGTTTGACTTTATGACTTTCTG